TTTTACCGACTGCGCTTAGAGGAATTTTTAATTTAGACAATTTAACAACTGATTGTATACATTAATATCGATTTACAAGTAGATCGTAACGCGTACAGACTTTACCGATTATAGGGTCAAATGCAAGAGTACCAGGTCAATATTTTGGGCAATAATATGACATTTGTATACAGTAAACAATTAAACAAGAACCGGGTGACGGGTGATGCTCCCCGAGTAGATTTTGGACACATAAAAGTATACCTCTTGAAGTGTAACAATTATGTCCCTGACAAAGTTCAAAGTGTAACAATGAACAAAGGGCAAAAACTCTTGAAAGAAGCAAGGCAGAGTTAAGGTTCTTTTGTACTGCACTTCAATTTATTTAATGATATCAATCTACCTACAAACCTCTTATGGATTCAGAGCTATGTCTCGAACAAAGTTCAAAGTGTAAATATGAACAAAGGGCAATAACTCAAAGATTGGGCAAAAAAAGTTATGGTTCTTTAACGCTGCACTTTCACCCAAAACTAAACGTTATGCTTTTAAAGAAATGGCAAGTGTTTCATTACATTGCGCCCATTTTGTGCCTTACGTTTAATATGTTACAAGAATAACTTTAAGTAACATGTTCGTAACATAGATGTAACACATATGACGCTGTAACCCTTACGTCCCATATTCTGTGTGTTTTAAAAACATTTGTAACAAGTATGTTAAAAAGTTTCATTAAATAGCGCCCATTTTGTGCCCTACGTGATATCTTTTATAGTTTTAGAGTTATGTCCCGGACAAAGTTCAAAGTGTAAAAATAAACAAAGGGCAATACTTCAAAAATTAGGCACGACAGAGCAATGTTTTTTTGTTTTTTTTTGCACAGCACTTCTACCTATTGAGTTCACACTACCTACAAAATTTCATGTTGATATCTTTATAGTTATAGACTTGCTGCGCTTCTGAACTTGCTGCGCTTTCGGAATAGCTGCGCTTCTTGACTTTCTGTGCTTTTAGACTTTCTTCATTCCTTCATCAAAAGTCTCAAAGACAATAATGAAAGGTCCTTTTTCGGGAACTTAATTTGTTTTTGTTTTCTCCCGATCTTCTTGTTATGAATCTCGGGTTTCAATATTTCTCACAATATATGAAGCAATAGAACGAACCTGATAGAAAACATTTGACGTGATGTCACAACAAAATCGAAGTCGCAGGGAAATAAAATAAAGTGTGTTTCTTTTGACGCACTTAAACACTTATAACTTGAGTGTAAATAGACGTATCAATATGAAATAAAGTGCAAATAAAAGATTAGCTAAATACCCCAAAATTGATATAAATTGAATTTAATCAGGTTCGTGCTGCTGAAACAAATATAAAATAAAACGATAAAAATATGGAAAAAACAATCTTGACAATAGCCCCTCTTTTCAAGGGAATATATATATATATTCACATAAGAAAAGGCAAAATTAATTTCATCGGTAACTGTCTTGTCTGTCTTTTTTCTTCGTGGTTCTCCTTGACGATTTGATGTTTTGACTGATCCCTTTATTCTCCCATCTTTGACATTGAACATATTTTACTCCAGGTATGTTTCCTATGATCAAGTCACAAATGAGATTCTTTGGGACCATCGCCTTTATCTCACCAACAAAGTAAGGAGTATCAACATTTACGTGTATTTTGAACATTCATTATGTAAACATTAAATTGTGCGCTCTTCTTTTGTTGTAATGGATACGTTCTTGATAGCGATATGATCGTATTTTGTAATGATCTTATTTCAATTTGACTCATCTTACTACAATTATGACGATGGGTGTGACAGCTCGTTTGTTTTTAGTGTTGTGTTTGTGTTTTTAGCTCACCTGAGCAATGCTCAGGGTGAGCTATTGTGATGGCCCTGTGTCCGTCGTCCGTCGTCGTTCGTCGTCAACTTTTGAACATAAACAACATCTCCTCTGAAACCAATGACTGCACATCAACCAAACTTTACAGAAATGATCCTTGGGTGGTCTCCTTTCAAAGTTTTTCAAATGGTTCCGGTCTGTTGCATATGTAGGTCATAGGGCCACAAAAGGATTTCAAAAAACACAACATTAAAAAATCTTCTTGTCTGAAAGTACATGGGCCAGAGCTTTGATTTTTGGTATATTGTATCATCTATGAGTCCTCTACCAAAGTTGTTCAAATTTTGTCCCTAGTGTCAAAATTGGCCCCGCCCCGGGGGGGGGGTCATAGGTTTTTCTATATGTATATAGTAAAATCTAAAAAAATCTTCTTCTCTGATTTGGCATAGGCTACAGATTAGATATTTGACATGAAACATTGTGTAGTAGACCTCTATCAAGATTGTTCAAATAATGGCCCTAGGGTCAAAATTGGCCCTGCCCCTGGGGGTCATTGATTTTCATTACAGACATATAGTGAAAACTTGAAAAATCTTCTGGTCTGAAAGTAAATGCCCTAGAGCTTTGATATTTGGTCTATGGTATCATCTGAAGGTCCAATACCAAAGTTGTACAAATTTTGTCCCTAGTGTCAAAATTGGCCCCACCCCGGGGGGGTCATATGTTTTTCTAATATGTAAATAGTAAAACATAAAAAATCTTCTCTGAATTGGCAAAGGCTACAGGTAAGATATTTGGCATGAAACATTGTGTGGTAGACCTCTACCAAGATTGTTCAAGTAATAGCCCTCGGGTCAAAATTGGCCCCGCCCTCGGGGGTCATTGATTTTCATTATATACATATAGTGAAAACTTGAAAAATCTTCTGGTCTGAAAGTAAATGGCCTAGAGCTTTGATATTTGGTCTATGGTATCATCTATAGGTCCAAAACCAAAATTGTTCAAATTTTGTTCCTAGAATTAAAATCGGCCCCGCCCTGGGGGGTCATAGGTTTTTCCTTATATGTATATTGTAAAACCTTAAAAAATCTACTTCTCTGAATTTGTAAAGGCTACAGGTTAGATATTTGGCATGAAACATGTTCTAGTGAGTGTCTACCAAGTTTGTTCAAATAAAAGCCCTAGGGTCAAAATTTGCCCCGCCCCAGGGGGTCTTTGATTTTCATTATATACATATAGTAAAAACTTAAAAAATCTTCTTTTAAATAACACAAAGAGCTAGAGCTAAGATATTTAGCATGAAACATTTTCTAATGGGTGTCTATCAAGTTTGTTCAAAAAAAGCCCTGGGTCAAAATTGGCCCCGCCCCAGGGGTCATTGATTTTCCCTATATGCATATAGTAAAAACTTTAAAATCTTCTTTTAAAGAACCCAAAGAGCAAGAGCTAAGATATTTAGCATGAAACATGTTCTAATGGATGTCTACCAAGTTTGTTCAAATAAAAGCCCTTGGGTCGAAATTGTCCCCGCCCCAGAGGGTCTTTGATTTTTCCTATATGCATATAGTAAAAACTTAAAAAATCTTCTTTTAAATAACACAAAGAGCTAGAGCTAAGATATTTAGCATGAAATATTTTCTAATGGGTGTCTACCAAGTTTGTTAAAAAAAAAGCCCTGGGGTCAAAATTGGCCCCGCCCCAGGGGTCATTGATTTTCCCTATATGCATATAGTAAAAACTTAAAAATCTTCTTTGAAAAAAAAACAAATAGCTAGAGATTAGATACTAAGCATGAAACATCTTCTTGTGAGTGTCTACAAAGTTTGTTCAAATAAAAGCCTGGGGTCAAAATTGGCCCCAACCCGGGGGTTATTTATTTTCCTTATTATTATGTGTATAGCAAAAACTTAAACAACCTTCTTTGAAAAAACTCAAATAGCTAGAGTTGAGATATTAAGCATGAAGCATCTTCTAGTGAGTGTCTACAAAGTTTGTTCAAATAAAAGCCCTGGGGTCAAAATTGGCCCCGCTCTGTGGGACATTGATTTTCTTTATATGTGTATAGCAAAGACTTAAAAATCTTCTTTGAAAAAACCCGAATAGCTAGAGTTTAGATATTAGGCATGAAACATTTTCTAGTAAGTGTCTACAAAGATTGTTCAAATAAAAGCCCTGGGGTAAAACTGGCCCTGCCCCAGGGATGTCATTGTTTTTAACTATATGTTTAAAGAAAAAACTTTAAAAATCTTCTTTTGAAAAACCCCACGAGCTAGACCTTAGATGTTTAGCGTGAAACATCTTCTAATGGTTGTCTACCAAGTTTGTTCAAATAAAAGCCCTGGGGTTTAAACTGGCTTTGCTCCAGGGGCCTATATACAGGTGAGCGACTTCGGGGCCATCATGGCCCTCTTGTTTATGTGAACTTGCCGGATTGTTTTCTTAAACTTGATGAATAAGTCATTATGGAAAATGTTACCTCACTGTTATTAATTATTTCATCCTCCTTGCAAAAAGACCATGACATTGATGTACATGTATTGTCGTTATTTTTCCTCTTTTGCTACGGTCGTATATAGATATCAAGTAGAATAACATTTATTTTAACTTTGATGATTCTTGAATATTATTACAGAAATACTTTAAACAAAATACAATTGAGAGATACCGGCCTCGTTTACGAGTTACCTGCCCTTAAATTTTATTCATTTTATTTAAGGTCACTTCAGCGGCAGATTACTTACAAACTATTTTTACTGATAGTTTATGCCTTTTATTTATTCCTTGTTCATAATACAAACTTTAATGGAATTTTAATAAATATGTGTGCTCTCTTTATTCAGTTTAAGTGCGTAGACTGATAATTCTTTAAAAAAAGACACTTTTAAAATGAAACTGGCATAGCTTTAGAAGAAAACACAACTATCTGCTTATCACCAATTCTTAAAAAAAAAAAAGAAATCTGCTTACTTTTTCACGTGTTTTTACACAGTCATTATTTATTTAAACAGATAATCGCGATAAGTTAACAACAGCAAATGCTAACCTAACTGATGTTCAAAAGAAATTCATTCATTTCCTACAGCAAATACGTTAAATTAGATTCAAGAGATGGTTTGACAATATTTATATATTTCAGTTTCATTTATTATAGAAAAAATATTATCATTTCAGGACTATTCCCCAGGTATTCGGGTTGGCACACTTCGGCGCCGGAACTTTACCGATACATTTAGACGATGTTAAATGTAAGGGAACTGAAACAAGCTTATCTCTTTGTCCACACCCAGTTTGGGGAAAACATAATTGTGGTCACCACGAAGATGTTGGCATATTTTGTACACCAGGTAACCTTTATGAAATAAAAAATTGTTTCTCAAATATAATATTTGCATACTGATAGAGAACATTTAGAAATAGTGTAAGCCAATAATTTATAAAATTAAAAATGTCTGTAAATTTTTTTAATGTATGATTTGCTAAAGTTAAAAAATGCATAGCAAGACTAAAGTTGTGATCTTGCATCCCCACTTCATGGTAAGGTGTGCTGATAAATCACAATCGCTGTTTGACAAAAAATGTATAAGATTTAAATTTTCTTTCTGATCATAAAAGTTTTCCCGGAAAACAGTAAAGTAATATTCAATTTGGCTTTAATGCAAAATGAAAGTACCATTTTCTAAAGTGGTATTGTATACAACCATGTATATGGTGCACTGTATGAGTGTATAATAAAAAAATCAAACAAAATTTACGTAGCGGTTGGTTATGAGTTTTACAACAATAATCCATCATTACCGTAATCATCTCCCAACATGTGCTCACGTGATAAAAAGGTTTTCACCGATTTGTTCGCGTATAAAATCTTTCCAATGCGGGGGTAATCAGTAAATCAATTCCTAAAATGACGCTTTATGATTAGGGGGTTACCTTCTCGTTACTCTCCTAGCCAGTAGCAGGCTTTTGCGTCCATAAAGAATATCTATGTATTTGTTATTTCTATCTTAAAATTATTGACTTCAGACTTTATAAAGGATGAGAATGATGATGATTTTGGCAAACACATCTCTGTAACGAATTATTTTATTGGTTGGCAGGAAATCACTTTATCGGAAAATCTTAATCGGCATGTAGGTGAACCAAAGATGGTTTCGCCCCGTGTTCATAAAGAAAAGATCATGATCAAGTTCTCCTGATTTTTTTTTGTCATTGTTGTATGTTAACTTACTAAAATTAATAGTGTTTTGTTAGAATTAAATGGTAAATATTCAAAATGTAAATAATTGATGATTTGCAAAGAAACTTGACTATTTTGGGATAAAACCAACAAATAACAAAAGAAACCGGAAACATTCGGATCGAAATAAGGATTAATTTTATGATCATGATCAATATTTGGATCATCTGTAATTTGCCCGTATCTTGCAAAAATAACAATAAATTTATTCTAAAATTTCATGAACTTGCTATTGCAATAGAATAGAGAAAAACAGAATCCCTAAAGAAAGTCCAACACAACGAAATCGAAAATGTTGCAGACTCGGTTTGATTGAGCCTGTTCAGGGACGGTACTGGAAAGTGCAAGTTACCGGCCACGCCCCCTAGCACCGGCTTAAGCAGAATTCAACATTTAACTAGAAAATCCGCAGATTTATTCATACGGCGGTTATCATGGAACCTTCAATGTGACACAGTAGTGCTATTCCATGAAAAGCGGCGTATGGTCCCCAAGTAAAAGAATGTTTTTGCCCTAAACGAGAAAACAATGGTCGGAACTAAATAAAATGGAATTTTGAAAGGGGATCTGAGGTTATGAAGCCTGCATATCACAGATAAGATGTCAAAAGACAAATTTAAAAGCAGGCAACATATCCTAAGGGTAATTATACAGTATTCAAGTAGGAATACTGGTTTAACAAATTAGGTATTCAAGTATTTAAGTATTCAAGTAGGAAGTCCAGTTTAACAAATTAATTATAATAGATATCTAATGCAAATGATAAACAATGAAACAATATTACAGTTTTTAAATTTGATCCTGATCATGATTCTGATACTTAAATCTTTGTGAACACAGTGCCAGAAGATCTGAAATTTAGTCAGATTGATGCTAAAATAGATTTAATAGCTATTCATTGCCCGATCATTGTATATGTTAGAAAATGTATATATTATGTCACTCAAAAGTTCCGGAGTTGCTGAGTGTTATGTTTTAAGGTATGGGATGAAGTCTTTAATAGCCGTTGTGCAGTGGATCACGTTGATGAGCTATTCCTTTCACTGATGACCGTCATATAAAAACTGATATTGAATGAAAAAAATGTGTCATTTGTCGGTGGCAGTTTCCTTAGCCTAACCGCTTTTTGTAAAGAACTTTGAAATTCAATGGATGTTAATTCAACAAAGTATGAATGGGAAGGTCAATATTTTTCCCAAAATGGGCAAGATCTTCTAATTCATCAGCGGCCTTACACATTACCCCTACCACCATCCCAAAAAAATCTAATTTATATACCATGTATCACAACCAGTGAGACAATACCTCGAAGTCCTGTGCATACCAGTTATGACTGCCCATTACAGTACAGATGTAGAAGGGATTTCCAAAGCTGTTTCACCTTAACATCAATCTATATAGATAGAAGTATTTCAAACTTTGATAAAATATCTAATAATACGACCTTGTCAATGCATTTCACTTTTTATACTAAATAGAATATACCAATCTTTTCCAGTTCCTTCTAACAATCACAAATGTATAACAGAAGACTGCTTACCTAGGGTATGCCTACACTATTCATGCCTGTTTTGGTGAAAACATCTGGTTAAGTTCTTTGTGCATTCACTATCCACGTTGTAGGTCATTGTTGTATTTCATTAACTTCCCTGATTCTTTAAACCTATCTTTTACCTGAAAATAAAACAGAAAACATACATTTGTATTCCTTTTATCGGTCTGATAATCAAATGAATATGAAAACGTCAGTTAAAAAATCCAACATTTTAATTGTAATAATCATAAGAAAACTACAAACTTAAAGGAAGTCATATGAAAAAAGTAAGACAAATCTGTGGAACTCCGTGGGTTTTCAATCTAAAACTGTACTCGGTATGACGTGAAACAACTGTTATACAATTCAATACATGCATATAGTTATGTAAGCACGGGCGGAGCAGAAGGGAAACACACAAACCTTTAATTGTTCTTTTCATATTTGTGAGTTAACAAGCTTCTGAAAATCACAGAAAATCGTTTTTAAATGGTGTTTACATTTCGAATCTACATTTGTTATAATTTAAGGTATTTTTTTTTCGCGATTATTCTTTTACTTATATAGATCATCTCAAAATTGACCAGTTTCTCTGTGATAATCCTATTTTCTTATTAACTCATTATTTATTTATGTATCTATTCCCCTTTCTTTCGTCATTTTTATAAGTTTCGAAATATAACATAAAGCAATTGTCAAGAGCCGTTACTGTGTCTAATCAAGCTTCAAACTCATAGGCAGAGTCGGTACGCTTCTCGTGACTTGCATAGACGAACTGTTTTCTTTCTACTACAGCCTCACTGATGTTCCAGATTTGCCAAAATACTGCTGCACCTATTTTGCATCCGCCGTTATTAAAAATAAGTTACGTTGAGCAACTTTCGACTTTGCCTGAAAAATAAAACAGAGATATTTATATGACATTGATCCAAATATAACAAACCACACGATTTATTTTATAAACGATGTTCATTTTATTTCAATAGAATGTCACTTGCGACCAAATAATTTAAATGAAGTGAGGAAAAATCAAACAATGACCATGCAGTTGAAGCGTTTCATCTCGGACATATCATGGCTCTGCTTTGGTTTTTCTTACATAAGTACAGAAACTCCGACTTCCGCATTTCAGCTCCCATTGAAATATTGTTTCTGGTTAGCCACTTAAGAATGAGCTCCTATTAGGGAGATTAGGAATAATTTTCTCTTATAGACATTGTTGAAACTGGACGAGTTATTTCATAATGATAGTCACATGTTGCAGATGTGGCCTTAAAATAAGTGAATACATGGACGATTCCGGCAAGAACATCTATTAAACGCCAACTTCTTGTTAATGTTAATATTGTTTTTTTCTGATTGCCAACATTTTCTGACGCCATGTGCGGCCATTTTGTGCTGTGATGCGAAACTTTCCAGCGATATTCACAACTTTGGTTAGTACTGATAAATCTTGTGAAATATGATTGAAATCCTGCCATCAGTTTGACCTGTGAAAACCGAAAAAAGCTTAATGCAGTTAGACAGACGGACAGATAGACGGCGAAGCCAAAAAGAAGGTTCCAAAAATTTTCAAGAGACATAATGATATATCCCTCAGTGAATGCATTTGACTTTTATAACAGTCGTTAAACAGTTTTCAATATCATTTTTTATTCTACTTAAAAACCAACATTCCATTAACAAACCTTTACCACATTTTTACAATATTTGCACATTTGTAGTTGGTAAATTTATGTTCTCCCATTGCCATCTAGTCGCTACGATTTTACGAATCCGTGTATAATTGAAGTTCTCAAATATCTTTGTGGGCATGTTATTCACGAGAAGATTATCAAATAAGTTGGAAGATAACTAAAAAATACCTATATTATGAGATTTGAACCAGCGTCCTTACACTCACAAATCGGACACTCACCCTCCTCTTCGCTAATGAGCTTTAAAGTACTGGGTATAAATAACTCTCCTGTGCAAAGGTCGAATGTTTCACGATCTTTCTAACCTCTGCTAAAATTGTAGGTTCAGACCAACATAAATCCATGTCAACACTTCAGCCAATCAGTGACTAGCTTATAGCGAAAAGTCACAAACATACACTTGACGCACCAAAATGTAAACAATGCATGTTGAATCGAAAGTTACTCTTGAACTTTACTTTTAATTGTTTTTTTTTGTTTTTGCTTTTTTTAATGTTTCTAATAAATGACCCAATGAAAACTAAAAATTTGGTAAATTTGCGATGATATGTTATTTACGGATCGTCAATTGCAATGAAGTCTCCGTAAACGTGTATGTAGTTCGATACGAATAATAATAGGTCGGCATATTATGGCTGCAAAAAAGTCCACATGCGGCCGTTAAAATAATTTTTCTCATGATGACCAGTCACATTATTTTCAACAATCACTCAACAATCTTTCGAAAAAACGGGGCGATTTTTAAATTAAACATGTATAATTAAAGGGGCAGAAGTCATCACATGCTTTGGTATGCTACATTACATAAGGTATACATTAATTATGATAAAACGTAGTTCATAATTAATTTGACTCATCTTACATAGATCAATTCATACA